AATTACTTGATTCTTTGGCTTTACAAAAAAAACAAAAACAAAATAAATGAATGTTGCCAGTATTCACCAAAGGCTCACTTGTCTCTAACTCACTCTGCATGCACCAGGAGAAAAATCCAGTCTTTGGAATGATCCCTGATGAGCATTTAGACGTTAGCAAATATAAATTCTCAAGCAATTGTCTTTCTCAACAGTTTTGAAAGAGAAATCCCTCCAAAAAAAACAAAAACAAAATAAATGAATGTTGCCAGTATTCACCAAAGGCTCACTTGTCTCTAACTCACTCTGCATGCACCAGGAGAAAAATCCAGTCTTTGGAATGATCCCTGATGAGCATTTAGACGTTAGCAAATATAAATTCTCAAGCAATTGTCTTTCTCAACAGTTTTGAAAGAGAAATCCCTCCCCTGTCTTTAAAATCATGCCATGCAAGCGCTCCCGGATCAAAAGTGGGATTCATTACGCCTCTGCAGTGGAGTGTAGCTGTGTGGATAGGGAGTGATTTGTTTCTCCGCACATACCTCCAGTCTCTCTATGCGGTCTTTGAGCTGACTGATGGCCTGCTCCAGCTCATCCACTGCCCGTAGCGTGAGCACGTGGTCATGCGCAGACGCGGGGCTGTCCCGCACCATGACCCGCTCGGCTTGCGCCCCCTCTGCCGGGCTTTTGCCTCCCCATATACCCACAGCACCTCCCCGTCTGTCGGGGACGCCACCCCGACCCTTGAGCCCCTTCTCGCACTCGGATAGTTTGCTTGTCAGCTCCCTAATGGTCCGCTGGTCCGTTTGTATTTGCTCCTTTTGCTGCAAGACGGTCTGCCGGAGCTCGTCCGCGGTGGTGCGGAGGTAGCCCCAGTCTTCTCCCGCGTATAGCGACGGGTCGTCCGCTTGTTGCTGAAAGTTTTTCGGGTTGCACTCCCCGGCGGGGATCGGCGTGCATATGAGGCGACTGACGGCTGGGTCGTGTCCGGTCAGTCCAGTGACCCCGTCCGGACCGTCGAGCCCGATGTGAAAGGTCGGTGCCTCGGATCCGGGCACTTCAGAACCGTGGAGAGCACCCAAGGTTCCAGCCCTGGCCGCCGAGCCTCTGGTAGCTGGGGGCTGCGTCGCGCCAGTCGCGTACAGCGAGCGGTTGTCGGCTGCCGGCTGCCGTCGAGCCGCCTTGGTGGTTCCGGTGTGGACGGCCGCGATGATGCAGATAACGGCGCCGATGAAGGCCACCATGCCGGCGGCCAAAATGATCACGATGAACTTCAGGGTGGCGGCGAAGACGATCGACAATCAAAAAAAAATCTAATCATAACATCACCCCAGAAAAGAACGAGTACTTGAACGCAGCAGAAATCATCGACTTGATGTGTTTTGATATCGAGAACAAAGGAGCGAAAAAGAATTAGGGAGACTTTTCTGGACCGGCGCAGATAACGAGGACTTGAGAGCGCCTCAATGGAGTTATCATGGAGTCCACAGAAAGCATCCGAGTATAGTGTGTTACTGTTCCACCTCCTCCGTGCATGTGCGCAACGCGCATGTCCTCACCGTTCAGACATCATCCAGCTTGGTGAGAACAACTAAGGCAAAGTGAGGGAAGCGTTTTCGATGCACTTAACTCTGCGCGACATTCCCGCAGTATTCTTTAACTGATGTGCACTCGCAAAATTTGGTGGTGTTTTTTTATGAACACAATTAGAATAACGCTCTTGTCTGATAGATGTTTTTTTTTAATTATTCCAAATCGCACAGGCAACATAACACATTAAAAAAATTCATACAATTTGAAGAAAAAATTAGTATTAGAAGAGAGATATTTGAAATCAACAAAGACACAATGTCCTCCTGCCTCGGCTCAGCCACTTGTTGCTAGGCAGAATTCATAGAACACATGTTACAGCTGCAGCTGTTGTGAAAGCGCTCTAGAAATCTGGTTCTTTTCCCCTGTGCAATTTTCATGAAGAATTAGCATTGACGCTGCACTGTGTCCAACATAAAATGCATTTTCAAAGCTGAACACAGTGCCCTCTGATGAGCGCCCCCCACCCCCAGTCCTTCATTCAGTGTCTCCATCGATGAAACAGTCAGGAATTGAACACGGCAGGGGCAGGCTAAGGGATTTTTCTTTTGCTTCACTGCAATGAATGGGTTTCCTGCATGCGGCCTTCCTAGTTATATCTGTAGTATCCCACACTCACTGTGTCTCATCATTTGTAGCTCAGCTTCACATTACAGGCATATACTCTATATACTGTGTGGGCAAATGTGCATGGCTATAAATCAAGCTCAAGGTTCCCAGTGGAGCAGCTCGAGAGCAATGGACATGGTAGAATGATGACCCCGGTGATGCGTGGTGAGTGTCTTTGTGCGTGTTGCACGATTCAGACCCGGTGCTATTAGTGAAGTCATTAAATCTGACACACGCACACACAGCCAAGTACTAATACATGTCAATCTTCACTTGAACATGTATACACACACTCACAAGCACACGATCATAGTCAAAATACATTTTCGTGCTATAATAAAGAGACAGGATGAACAGAATAAACATTCATAGAATAGAGGGAAGAGAGGGAAGAAGCAAAGACATTTATTTCCAAGGTGCGTGCACAGATGCGGTATGGGGGAGATGTCTGCAGCAGAAAATAGCTTGCTCGAACACTAGAACAGTAACAGGGATGACTAAGTACTCCATTAGAGATGGATTACTGGAGCCTGACATTTCCACCAGCTATTTTTTTATGCATATTTCTGTGGGATATTGAAATGACATGAGTGACGATCGAACATCTCTGGCCTTAATGCAGACAGCACTAAAGTTGGAATCTTTAAATCATTGCTTTTAATCACATTCCAAATGTAATTGTTATTTTAAACATTTGAATTCCACTAAGTTTTGGATTGTAAAGACTAACCTGGGAGAAGCACGTGAAATGTTTGCGCAAAGTTCGTAAACACAATACACTGTGCATGATTCCAGAAGTGATGGAAAAAGGCAGTAAGAGGGTCTTTAGTTGCTAATTTTCTGTACATCTCCATTCATCCAGCTCATCATTTCCATTTGTAGCTTGGATTGTCACATTTTTTTGTGTTCAATTTGTTTTGTTTATCTTCGTGGAAGTGCTCATAGGGTTTCTCTCATGCAAACATGTCCTGCATAAATTTGCCCTCGATTTTTTTTATGTGAAACTCTATTCTGCTTTTATGATTTCGCTCCCTGTGCCATAAAGCTGTATGATTTGTTAATGATCATTCTTTTTGAGCTCGTCAATTAAAAGTACTGACAAGTGAAAGGATATTAGGCAGCCTTTTTATTAGAATGCTGCTTAAAATTCTTCTCATGTTACCCAGTTGGGTTTTAATGCCACCTAGTGTACGAGCCAACAGCGCCATCTCAGTCTGACAACCTCCGCCTATAATTTATGAAACCATAAATAATGAATTCAGTAATCAAAGCTTCCACATTTTCCTTCCTCGTTTCCTCTTTTGAGTTGAACGTGTCATTACTCATCAGCACAGTGTTGCTCTAATGACGATAGATTATATTGAGCCATTAGAGATGCAGGAATATGCTGTGTCATAATACGGGGAAAGGGGAACATTTTTAATGAAATCTTGAACGCACCCTGAGCCACTCTTTCCAATTCAGACTTTGATATAAAAATCTGCTCTGTTTAGTGTTTGTTTTGAAGACCAACTCGGCACCAAAATACATGAGCTTCTGTGACAAATTGGGTCCGCTTAAGTCAGATTAATAAAAACAATAACTTGTCACTAGCTTGGAGGGGGAAGTGCTTCGCATGTCTGCCTCGAAGGGTGTTTTTCCAGTTTGTTTGTTTTTTTTTTTTTTTTTTTGTTGCAAAATTTAACATAGGATATTCGCAATTTTTTTTTTTTGCAAAATTTAACATAGGATATTCGCCAGTATGCAGCCTTCAAGTCCTTCCATTATAACAAATATCCTTAACTGAAATATTCTCTTTGTGACTTACAAGCAACGGTAGAGTTCATCCGGCAGTTCACAATGCAAATGCCTGTTTATTTGCGCGTTTATTTGCTTTGAAAATCGTTTCAAATGGTACCACACAGAGCACACCTTGCATATAGGAAATGGACACACACGCATCTATCCCGGTGTTTAATTCCGCACACGTTACAGCAAACACTAAGTCACACTTTACAGGATATGCCATTGCGTTTTATGGCTGGGCCGTGTTTAATTATTTACCGTGCGGTACTCAAGTCGCAGCCGAGTCTATTAACAACAACCCGAGCAGCCTCCTGCGCTTGCTCTGTCCGTTCCATTCAACTTTGTGGCCTGGATGAGTTAAGACTTGGATGCTCTCACGGGATTTCATTGGCAGTCGCACAAAGGGTGGATATTAAACATGTCTGCGGTGAACAGTGAGCAGCTACATCGATCAACCTTGGGGATTTACTCAGTAAGTAGCTTTTTGTCGTCGAAAAGTTCTTTGTTTCAAGTTAACTTGATTGTCAAATGTGCTCTATGTGCAACATACGGCACAGATGAAATTTCTTTCCTCTCAACCACAGGAGAGAGAGGAGCCGCTGCGGGTGCCCGCGTCGCCATCAACAGAACCGTTAACATAAAATGACAAAAAAATAATAATTTGAACTCGTTTTAAGAACTTTCAGCTTCACCCCCTGAGAAGAAAATATCATGAAATTGTACTCTCGATGTGACTCCATACAAAACTTTGTCACTCAACAATCAAGATCTTTATGTTTCTTATTTGTCATATTTTTTGGGTTTGGTTTCTTCGACAGAGCTTGATGGAAGAATTCAACCCTGGCCTGCAAAAACTCGTGTCACTGGGACACAGCTATGTGCGAGCTTTCCAAGGTAAGACGGAGGCAAAAGAGAACTCATGTGAAAGGGGTCTTGGGGGGCAGGGGGGGTGGGGTCAAGTTTGAATTTCTCACTCACTTCCTGTGTCCTCTTGTGTGTGCTGTTCACACCCCTTCGTTTATTAGTGCTGTAAACTAAACAAACTGTCACATCAGCCGGCTGTTTCAGGAAACCTCATTCCAAAGTCCATATTTGTTGGGGCTTTTGTAGCGCCGTTGTGTTTGCTGTTGCGGGCCTGTATCCAGGGCGTGTGGAGTTGTTATTATTACGTTAACAAGAATCAACAACGACGTTTCTTGCCCCTGACAGGGAAGAAAAAAAAAGATTGTATATTTAACGTTTTACAGTTGATATAAAAAAGTCTGCAAGCCCCATTTCAAATTGGTGATCTTAAAAAAAAAAAAAAGAGAGAGAGACTCAGTTAAATCAAAAATATGTCGTCCTCCATTAATGTGACCTATAACCTCTACTCCTCAAGTGGGGGGAAAAAAAGAAATACATGATAAATATTCCAGCAAGCACAAGTGAGGCCGATGCCTTATTTCTCCCACTTTCTTCTAAATATCGAACTATTTATTCACATGAACACCTTCTGAACGCTTTCAAACTTCTGCCAATGCTGGGAAAGGTAATTTCACATGATACGTGTTTTTCAGCTCTGGCTGTAAAAAGCGAGGCTTACTTCACTGCACTTTCACAGATGGGCGAGCAGGCCTTCCACACCATGTCCTCACGTTCCATAGGTAAGGGGAAGCATGCCAAACCAAGAGCTTTTTTTTTTTTTCCCGCACTATTAATAAAATGTGAATGTCACAACTTTGACATGATGTTTTGCACTTTTCTTGAAGGAGATGTTCTGATTCAGATTGCCGAGAGCCAAAAGAAACTCACCTTGGAGCTCGAAGGAGTAGTAAGTGACATGATTCATTCATCTCTCTTTCACAAAGTTTTGGAGACAATTGTAAAATGATTGTGAGGGTTTTATTGCACGTCAACATTCACTGCGTACTGTGTGTATGTGTGTGTGTGTGTGTGTGTGTCATCCCAGTTCCGCTGGTTCACGGAGGACATTCTTCACGAGATGGACAATAACGTTAGACTGGACCAAGATTACATATCCGTGAGTGAGACTCGTGTCGAGGCATCTTCGGAAATGAAAACGCTTCAAGAACACATCGAGAAAGTCACCCGCCGTCTTTCCATTGTTGAGATGGCGATGATCGTCAAGTGCCTCAACGGATGCATCTCTGTGTCTGACAGGGCAGCAGAGAACAATATGAGATGAGTGTCTTTAGTCAGGCAGCAGTTATGGAGAGACAGCCAAGGCGTGGAGCGAACAAGGTTTGTCATTCGGCACTGTATTAAATACCGGGACTGTACTGACCCATTTATAGTGGGGGACACGTTTTAGAACTGCCCGCTGGAGGCCATTCCAGTGTTTATTTAGGTCTGCTGTTTTTCTTGTCAACCATGTGTCTGGTCAGGAGGCCGCTGAGCATCTGCGCTTCCTTCGGGAAAGTCATAGCGAGGCTCTCAAAGAGGAAGAGAGAAGATATCGCTTCCTGGCTGAGAAACACTGCGGCCTGATCCGGTCCATCTCCGGCCTTATGAATAAGGTACGCGTCTTGCTTCAAAATAGCATTCATGAAGACGTTATTTTATGGCTTGTGCTTTGGGGTTAGTGACTGCCGGTTCAGAATGGCTTTGCCTCAGGATGATCATGTAACTCATTTCAGTGAGTGTCAGGAAGACTAACAAGGACATGCTCAAAAGAGAATTCTCAATAAATGTCTCACGATGGTGTCAGCTACTATTCGTCTCTGTGGGGAAATTTGCCTCCTTTATAACGAGGGTCAAGCGCAGAGCAGGAGATTAGAAGATGACGGGCGATTCAGCATCTTGAGCAGGCTGCAGGAAAGGTCGCCTGTTTTCGACTTCCTCCTTTTTCTTTTCATCTCTTCCCAGCCTGTCAAACTGACAAGTCGAATTGGCACCTCCTCTGGTCCAGTGTGGCGAATACAGAACTAACTACATGTTTAAATGTGCAGTTATCATAATGGGGTTGTTTGAAAGATTGGCAAATAGGTAGAATATGTCTCAGATAAAATGGCCATTTACACTTACATTCCTGAAATAATGACAACTCTCAAGTAACAGAAAGATCATTGCACCTTTACCACAGTGCCTTTGTTGCCATCTGAAATAATTGTATCTCCAAGTCAAATCATCCGTGGGGAAACTGCTCATGCTTCAAAGGGCAAAAGCAATAAGCGAGAACTAATTACCCTCATTTACGGGGTTGGTGAGGTCATGTTCTACGCAGCAATGATACTTGTCAACTCTTTGGACATCTCCGCTCTTCATGCAAATGTGTTCGCCCGCGCTCTTCTCATGCTGGCTTTGTGTGCTAGAATGGAGGTGCTCTCCAGCAGAAAGCTGACTCCTGGAGAGAAGAGGTCAACGCTACCAGAGGACGGGATGCCATTCGGCCGCCGGGCCCGGAGAGCACTGTGAGTTCGTGGCGGAGCTGCTATGAGTCTGATCCACTGAGATTATCAAGCAAGGTTGGGGATTCGTGCCATGTCTGGGACATGATTGTGTTCCTAAGATGGAGCTGAGTAAAAAAACCCTCTCACATCAGTTTGGGTCTGTATCTCATTGAAGCACTGACAGAGGGGATAGATTGGTTTATTTTTGCTGCCGTAGTGCCCTCTAGTGGCATGACAAATCTCTCAATACTGTATATCTGTCACGGCGAAAACTTCAGATTGCAACGACAACGTTTTGTCTTGTCTTGAAACATTTAAATGACGACCGATGGTAAACATTTGCCTGGCAGCGTGTTGTTTTGAATGTTTCTCTTGTTGCTCATGCAGCCACAGGTAAGACAGGAGAACTGGAAGAACAGAGACGAGCAGCCTCTTGGCAACGTCCCATCAAGAGGTGAGAACTTGTCCCGAGAGCAGGAATTTGGAGTTCTTTCCAGAAAACTAGATCTACTTTCAATATAAGTGTATTCAAGTTAGTAAATGTAAATATGGTTCGATGGTTCAGGTGGAAATTAGTAGCAGAGCCAGGATCGACATCAATTTTAGCTATTGTGCTTCAACAAATATCCTCAGCGGCGTGCTTGATTCTTGATCTTTCCAGCTCCGTCCCCCCAGGGAAGTATGTATCGCTCTACATCTGAATCGGCGGGCGGTGCGGGAAGATCCACGAGGGCCCGGGTGGCCCATCAGCCGGTTGGCTCCAATCCAACCCTGCTGCACTTTGCCAGGGGAGAGATGATTACCGTGCTGGTCCAGCAGCCGAAAAACGGCTGGTTGTACGGCCGTGCAGCTGGCAACAATTCACGGTGAGTGAAGTCCCTTTCCTGGGTGCAATGTGTGTGGGTGTGCTCGCCAGCTGCTGCATTAAGTGCAGCTATGCAATCGAATGAGATCCGGAATAATTTCAAATCCTACGCAAATCTGTTGAAGTGACGTGTTTGTCATTGTCATTCCAGTGGTGGGGGACACTGTATAAATCAGAACCCAATACTATTTTTTTTACATATCTATTTTGTGGACAGACTGTGTGTTTCCAGTATTTATTTTTTTTTTCATTTCATCAACACCGTCAGCCACAGCATCAACACCAATATTCTTTCTTCTATTTTCAGTCAGGGGTGGTTCCCGGCCTCCTATGTGGAAGAAGTGGACGACCTTCGTTTGCAAGCTGACATCGGGTAAACACACATATGCTGGAAAAAAAAAAAAAAACTAAACTGAATGTGGTATTCTTTAGTTTTAATTTTTTTTTTAAAACACCAACAACAACAGATTTCATCGATGATTGCAAGGTTTCCATTTAGAATTCAGTTTGCAGCCTCCTCATCTGCGGGGAAATTCAGCCTCATTAGCCTCAGTCAAATGGGAATCTTTTTTTAATCACTTGGAGAGTGTCAGATGGACCAACTTTGATCTGTCCGTATCAATCCATTACAAGTTGAAACGTGACCGGATATAATAAAACTTTGAGGATAATCAAGGGCATCAGTGAGTGCTCAAAGTATTGTTCTTACAGAGAGAGAGAGCCCTGGAACTCTTTTTTTGTCCATTACTTCTACAGTCGATGTTGATGGATCTTTTTGTTATGAATTATGAACATATGTAGCCGCACCCCTGTTGACTTAAGAGTTCCTTCCATACAGACTAGTTTTACTGCTTTCCTCCAGGCCAACCTCTTTTTTTTTTTTCTTTGGGACCAATAATCAGGGCTGGAGTAATAACATGAGCCATTTAAGATATTTGGGTGACCCAACGCCTTGAGGAACACCACTACGAACGCTTGGCTAAAAACACTCATTATCGACGGTTAGCATGGGTTGGTATGGGAACTTCTTGCCCACTTTTCAACTTCTATTTTCAGCGCTGTTGAAATCAGGGAGTTTTGAGAGCGCCGTTTTATGTCTTGTAAATGAGCTTACCCTTTATATTTAACATGCATGTCTTTTCAGTAGTTCCGCTCCCCGGGCAAGAAACAACAGCAGTGTGAGTAGCCGCACGGACGTGCCAGGAAGAAACACGCCACCTCCGCCACCTCCACCTCTGCTATCGCAGTCTTCAAAGAAATCCTCTCAAATTCAAACCGGCGCATCGGACAAGACAACGGAGTCGAATCCAGAAAAAAAGGTACGGGATCGAACAATAAATGATTGCATGTATTTGAAGTTGATGTCAATGTAGGTCCTCTCTCGTGATTTGGTGTTGAGGCCAGCAGAAATGGCCAAACGGGTCAAATTTTGCTTTGTCAAGGCTTTTGTTGCAATGTGCTCCTCTGTCCAGCAGGGGCACTGTGGTAAAGTGCTTTTCTCCATGTCACCGCATCCCTCTTTCTGGTGGATGCAGGGTGGAAGCTCCAGCTGCTGACAGTGTATGAGTGAGGACACGTGTGTGTGTGTGTGTGTGTGTGTGTGTGTGTGTGTGTGTGTGTGCGTGTGTGTGTGTGGCGCTGAGTGTGTGTGTGTGTGGGTGTGTGTGTGTGTGTGTGTGTGTGTGTGTGTGTGTGTGTGTGTGTGTGTGTGTGTGTGTGTATACCATTAGATCAGAATGAAATTTTTAGTACTTTCAAGACATGCAGTTGTGTGGGAATGCGCATGTTTGTGCGCGTGCGACATGACCCCCTCGCTGCCCATCTTTAAAAGTTGTCATGGAACTCATTTTTATTCTTTGGCTTTTGACTCCGCATGGACTTGATTTTTTTGTTTTGCCGTGTACTGTCTTCATTATTCATTTCTTGTTTTCTTCTTTTATTTATGGATTCTTTTTGCTTCATGTACAGCACTTTCTAGACAGTGGTGGTTGTTTTAAAGTGCTCTATAAATACAGTTGAGTTGAGACACAACCTTTGTACAAGCAATGTGCAAGAGAATGAAGTGAACCGGTCAAGAAGTCAGTTGGCTCAAACTCCCCTCTCCCGCTCCTTCCGCCCAGTGAAAGTGCAATTTTTTTCACTCACTCACCCTTTTCTTTTTTTTTTCTACAGCGCTCCCAGTCACACGGATCAAGACCGGAACTCTTTCCGAGGTAAGAAAAAAAAAAGTCTGCACAGGTTCCTCATCAGAGAGATTCACCATGCATAAATCTTGAACCCAATCGCCACGGCGCTGCTCTTAATGTGTTTGTCTTAAAACAATTTCATTTTTAAGCAACATAACTACATTGGCTCATCTTAAGGGTTAAAAAAAAAGTTGTACATGTAGTAGGAGCCCCAGTGCTGCTGCTTTAACGCTTCTCCTTTCTTCTCTCTATCTTGAAGGGGCACGAACCCATTTGCAACAATTAAGTTGAAGCCCACATCCACCAATGACAGATCAGCGCCTCGTCTTTATCGCTAATGCCATTTAGTTTACAGAATAATGAACTGCGGTTGACCATTGTCCGCTCTCGATGTCTTTTATTTGACACCTGTTCATACTTCATGTAAATATATTCTTCGATCTACACTCTGTTCACGTGTTGATGTTTTGTTAAGATAACATATGATACCCTTTATTTTTTCTCACAATGGAGAAATTCACAATCTATAGCAACAAAATTTTGGAGGGAAGAAAGTAGAAAGAAAACATGAAGTATTTGAATGCACAAATGTTGTTGAATGAATCATTATGCAGAGGTCCTATTCTGGGATACTTCAATCCTATGAGAACTCTGTTTCCACTGTTGCACTTCCATTTCTTTTGATTGCTGTGTACAAATGGGTAAATGTGAACCAAAGCCATTCGTCAAAACTGCATCATCTGTAATTTCCCACAGGGGGCAGCACCACAATCCCGACAATAAATTTAGACTAACGTGTAGTAAACGTACAATGTAATTCCCAATTTTGGGCTGGATTACAAATCTCAAAAAAAAAAATTGTTGGGTGTTATCTTTATGGTGTTAAAAATGGCGAGCCCTCAAATTCCAGGAAATAGTCTCTGCACTTGTTGCCAAGTAGCTGTCAGCGTTCTCTTTAGTGTTTCATTACCGTTGCACCATGGCACCGCTTTGCGTTTCTTCACCAGCCTAATGTTCTCAACCGAGCAGAAATTGGAAAATCAAAGCCGTGCTCAAAGTTAATGACGCCTCGGAGACATCATTTACCATCTTAAATATCTCCAATAATTGCGTGATAATTGCACAATCAACGGTATTAACGACGATTAATTTGTCATGACAAAAATGAAATGTGACCATTTCCCAATAAACGGTGTTCATTGAAGGGCCATTTTAACATTTGTATCATTTTGTGTTGTCTTCCTCTGGTGACGCCACCGTGTCAATCAAATAGTTTCCGTGCCGCTCGTCTTGATACGACTGGACTCTCCGTTTATTTGCTCAGGCAGTAAATTGGCCTACAAAAGAAGATCCCACGTTGTCTATTTGGCTGTTCCGTTGGGGATGCTTAACCCAAATTGAACCTCAGTGTGAATCCAATTGTGTTAATGGCTTCAAAGTACGGTTCTGTTAAATTAGCCCCGCACCTCTGGTACATTTGATGATATTATGGGTTTGTTTTTATGTGGTGCCCTTCTCCGGCTCTTTGAAGTGCATCGCTTTATACTTTATGATGTTGCTTTCCACTTGGTCTCATTGAGGAAGAAATGAAAAAAAAAAAAAACGGGGTAAAATCACATCCAATGATTAGGCAAACAGAAAAGTCACATTTGTCTTCATTTTATTCATATTTATTTTTCATTCACAGCTTTACCACTTTCTTCTTATGGCATGACAATAATACATCTCATTACTAGATGGATGGCTGAATCCAATGTTCATTTTTGGGGGTGGGCGCAAACGGCTGAGAAAATTAAAATGATAAGAAAGATAAATAAGAGGGATGAAGCACAGAGGGGAAAATAGGTCTCGCTTGTTATCTCTTCACATATCTACTTTGCTTTATAATGCAAGGTCTAGTCCTGCGGGCGTGTTTTTATTCTCTCTACATAAGCGCAAACAAGAATAGTTGGTGGAAAAAGGAGAAGATGGATTGAATGCACGTGGCTGTGGGGCATCACAGAAGTGTGTGAGTGTGCGTGTGCGGGTGTGGGTGTGGGTGTGTGTGTGTGTGTGTGTGTGTGCATGTGTGGACGCGTGCCCGTGTGTGTTTGGGTGTTGGAGGTTTATTGTGCAGTCAAAAGGATGGAGGCCATAGGGTTAGGATGCGGCGATGGTCAGGAGGTCTTTTCGGGTCAATTCAATCTTCACAGGTGCCTATTCTTTCACAAGGGCGATAAACTCTGAAAGAGAAGTGGGTCCAGGAGGGCCCGGGTGGCCCACCAGCCGGTTGGCTCCAATCCAACCCTGCTGCACTTTGCCAGGGGAGAGATGATTACCGTGCTGGTCCAGCAGCCGAAAAACGGCTGGTTGTACGGCCGTGCAGCTGGCAACAATTCACGGTGAGTGAAGTCCCTTTCCTGGGTGCAATGTGTGTGGGTGTGCTCGCCAGCTGCTGCATTAAGTGCAGCTATGCAATCGAATGAGATCCGGAATAATTTCAAATCCTACGCAAATCTGTTGAAGTGACGTGTTTGTCATTGTCATTCCAGTGGTGGGGGACACTGTATAAATCAGAACCCAATACTATTTTTTTTACATATCTATTTTGTGGACAGACTGTGTGTTTCCAGTATTTATTTTTTTTTTCATTTCATCAACACCGTCAGCCACAGCATCAACACCAATATTCTTTCTTCTATTTTCAGTCAGGGGTGGTTCCCGGCCTCCTATGTGGAAGAAGTGGACGACCTTCGTTTGCAAGCTGACATCGGGTAAACACACATATGCTGGAAAAAAAAAAAAAAACTAAACTGAATGTGGTATTCTTTAGTTTTAATTTTTTTTTTAAAACACCAACAACAACAGATTTCATCGATGATTGCAAGGTTTCCATTTAGAATTCAGTTTGCAGCCTCCTCATCTGCGGGGAAATTCAGCCTCATTAGCCTCAGTCAAATGGGAATCTTTTTTTAATCACTTGGAGAGTGTCAGATGGACCAACTTTGATCTGTCCGTATCAATCCATTACAAGTTGAAACGTGACCGGATATAATAAAACTTTGAGGATAATCAAGGGCATCAGTGAGTGCTCAAAGTATTGTTCTTACAGAGAGAGAGAGCCCTGGAACTCTTTTTTTGTCCATTACTTCTACAGTCGATGTTGATGGATCTTTTTGTTATGAATTATGAACATATGTAGCCGCACCCCTGTTGACTTAAGAGTTCCTTCCATACAGACTAGTTTTACTGCTTTCCTCCAGGCCAACCTCTTTTTTTTTTTTCTTTGGGACCAATAATCAGGGCTGGAGTAATAACATGAGCCATTTAAGATATTTGGGTGACCCAACGCCTTGAGGAACACCACTACGAACGCTTGGCTAAAAACACTCATTATCGACGGTTAGCATGGGTTGGTATGGGAACTTCTTGCCCACTTTTCAACTTCTATTTTCAGCGCTGTTGAAATCAGGGAGTTTTGAGAGCGCCGTTTTATGTCTTGTAAATGAGCTTACCCTTTATATTTAACATGCATGTCTTTTCAGTAGTTCCGCTCCCCGGGCAAGAAACAACAGCAGTGTGAGTAGCCGCACGGACGTGCCAGGAAGAAACACGCCACCTCCGCCACCTCCACCTCTGCTATCGCAGTCTTCAAAGAAATCCTCTCAAATTCAAACCGGCGCATCGGACAAGACAACGGAGTCGAATCCAGAAAAAAAGGTACGGGATCGAACAATAAATGATTGCATGTATTTGAAGTTGATGTCAATGTAGGTCCTCTCTCGTGATTTGGTGTTGAGGCCAGCAGAAATGGCCAAACGGGTCAAATTTTGCTTTGTCAAGGCTTTTGTTGCAATGTGCTCCTCTGTCCAGCAGGGGCACTGTGGTAAAGTGCTTTTCTCCATGTCACCGCATCCCTCTTTCTGGTGGATGCAGGGTGGAAGCTCCAGCTGCTGACAGTGTATGAGTGAGGACCTGTGTGTGTGTGTGTGTGTGTGTGTGTGTGTGTGTGTGTGTGTGTGTGTGTGTGTGTGTGTATACCATTAGATGAGAATGAAATTTTTAGTACTTTCAAGACATGCAGTTGTGTGGGAATGCGCATGTTTGTGCGCGTGCGACATGACCCCCTCGCTGCCCATCTTTAAAAGTTGTCATGGAACTCGTGTGTGTGTGTGTGTGTGTGTGTGTGTATACCATTAGATCAGAATGAAATTTTTAGTACTTTCAAGACATGCAGTTGTGTGGGAATGCGCATGTTTGTGCGCGTGCGACATGACCCCCTCGCTGCCCATCTTTAAAAGTTGTCATGGAACTCATTTTTATTCTTTGGCTTTTGACTCCGCATGGACTTGATTTTTTTGTTTTGCCGTGTACTGTCTTCATTATTCATTTCTTGTTTTCTTCTTTTATTTATGGATTCTTTTTGCTTCATGTACAGCACTTTCTAGACAGTGGTGGTTGTTTTAAAGTGCTCTATAAATACAGTTGAGTTGAGACACAACCTTTGTACAAGCAATGTGCAAGAGAATGAAGTGAACCGGTCAAGAAGTCAGTTGGCTCAAACTCCCCTCTCCCGCTCCTTCCACCCAGTGAAAGTGCAATTTTTTTCACTCACTCACCCTTTTCTTTTTTTTTTCTACAGCGCTCCCAGTCACACGGATCAAGACCGGAACTCTTTCCGAGGTAAGAAAAAAAAAAGTCTGCACAGGTTCCTCATCAGAGAGATTCACCATGCATAAATCTTGAACCCAATCGCCACGGCGCTGCTCTTAATGTGTTTGTCTTAAAACAATTTCATTTTTAAGCAACATAACTACATTGGCTCATCTTAAGGGTTAAAAAAAAAGTTGTACATGTAGTAGGAGCCCCAGTGCTGCTGCTTTAACGCTTCTCCTTTCTTCTCTCTATCTTGAAGGGGCACGAACCCATTTGCAACAATTAAGTTGAAGCCCACATCCACCAATGACAGATCAGCGCCTCGTCTTTATCGCTAATGCCATTTAGTTTACAGAATAATGAACTGCGGTTGACCATTGTCCGCTCTCGATGTCTTTTATTTGACACCTGTTCATACTTCATGTAAATATATTCTTCGATCTACACTCTGTTCACGTGTTGATGTTTTGTTAAGATAACATATGATACCCTTTATTTTTTCTCACAATGGAGAAATTCACAATCTATAGCAACAAAATTTTGGAGGGAAGAAAGTAGAAAGAAAACATGAAGTATTTGAATGCACAAATGTTGTTGAATGAATCATTATGCAGAGGTCCTATTCTGGGATACTTCAATCCTATGAGAACTCTGTTTCCACTGTTGCACTTCCATTTCTTTTGATTGCTGTGTACAAATGGGTAAATGTGAACCAAAGCCATTCGTCAAAACTGCATCATCTGTAATTTCCCACAGGGGGCAGCACCACAATCCCGACAATAAATTTAGACTAACGTGTAGTAAACGTACAATGTAATTCCCAATTTTGGGCTGGATTACAAATCTCAAAAAAAAAAATTGTTGGGTGTTATCTTTATGGTGTTAAAAATGGCGAGCCCTCAAATTCCAGGAAATAGTCTCTGCACTTGTTGCCAAGTAGCTGTCAGCGTTCTCTTTAGTGTTTCATTACCGTTGCACCATGGCACCGCTTTGCGTTTCTTCACCAGCCTAATGTTCTCAACCGAGCAGAAATTGGAAAATCAAAGCCGTGCTCAAAGTTAATGACGCCTCGGAGACATCATTTACCATCTTAAATATCTCCAATAATTGCGTGATAATTGCACAATCAACGGTATTAACGACGATTAATTTGTCATGACAAAAATGAAATGTGACCATTTCCCAATAAACGGTGTTCATTGAAGGGCCATTTTAACATTTGTATCATTTTGTGTTGTCTTCCTCTGGTGACGCCACCGTGTCAATCAAATAGTTTCCGTGCCGCTCGTCTTGATACGACTGGACTCTCCGTTTATTTGCTCAGGCAGTAAATTGGCCTACAAAAGAAGATCCCACGTTGTCTATTTGGCTGTTCCGTTGGGGATGCTTAACCCAAATTGAACCTCAGTGTGAATCCAATTGTGTTAATGGCTTCAAAGTACGGTTCTGTTAAATTAGCCCCGCACCTCTGGTACATTTGATGATATTATGGGTTTGTTTTTATGTGGTGCCCTTCTCCGGCTCTTTGAAGTGCATCGCTTTATACTTTATGATGTTGCTTTCCACTTGGTCTCATTGAGGAAGAAATGAAAAAAAAAAAAAACGGGGTAAAATCACATCCAATGATTAGGCAAACAGAAAAGTCACATTTGTCTTCATTTTATTCATATTTATTTTTCATTCACAGCTTTACCACTTTCTTCTTATGGCATGACAATAATACATCTCATTACTAGATGGATGGCTGAATCCAATGTTCATTTTTGGGGGTGGGCGCAAACGGCTGAGAAAATTAAAATGATAAGAAAGATAAATAAGAGGGATGAAGCACAGAGGGGAAAATAGGTCTCGCTTGTTATCTCTTCACATATCTACTTTGCTTTATAATGCAAGGTCTAGTCCTGCGGGCGTGTTTTTATTCTCTCTACATAAGCGCAAACAAGAATAGTTGGTGGAAAAAGGAGAAGATGGATTGAATGCACGTGGCTGTGGGGCATCACAGAAGTGTGTGAGTGTGCGTGTGCGGGTGTGGGTGTGGGTGTGTGTGTGTGTGTGTGTGTGTGCATGTGTGGACGCGTGCCCGTGTGTGTTTGGGTGTTGGAGGTTTATTGTGCAGTCAAAAGGATGGAGGCCATAGGGTTAGGATGCGGCGATGGTCAGGAGGTCTTTTCGGGTCAATTCAATCTTCACAGGTGCCTATTCTTTCACAAGGGCGATAAACTCTGAAAGAGAAGTGGGTGGGGGTGTGGGTGGGGTGGAGTATTCAGTGTCTTTTTTCGCAACGTGCCATTGCGACAGTCATATCTAAAACTGTGTGATACTTTCTTACTTCTGACTGAGTGGAATCTTAATATGAAGGGTGTAAAACTTTATTTGTAAACATGTACAATCATTTTGATGATTTCTACTTCGATTATATCTAGCTAGAATTACCCCCCCCACACCTCCCTTCAAAATCCAAACAACACCACGGTTGAGTCGTGTCTCTTAAGACAGATGGTGTTGTGAAGCTCCATTGCGTTTGTGGCATCGTGTTTTTGTGTGCCCTAACGACACCCCCCAATCCATCTAATTTGTCGTCAAACGTGGTTTACCTTCAACTCCAATCTTGCCGTCTCCATCCTTGTCAGCTGCGTGTAAAAATATTTTGGTTTCCTTATCCGTCAGGTCCCTGCCATCTTTGGCAAAGCCCTTCAGGACGAATCTGACCAGATAAGAACGCGCGTGTTTATATTGGCGGCGGACCGAAAAATCAGGCTTCATTTTTGGTACTCTTTAGTTGGCATGTTCTACGTCGTCTTACTTGAGCTCCTCCTCTTCAATATAGCCACTGTTGTCGGCGTCCAGCACCGTGAAGACCTTCTTCACATCGTCGGGAGACTTGTTCTTCAGGCCGATCATGTCAAAAAAACTCTTATGGTCAAAAGAGTCGGCCACTGAACACACAAGCACAGTCAACAAACCACGGCTTGCAAGTTGAAGAACTTGTAAGATGTGGACCACTGTTCGTTTTGTTTTGTTTTGTTTTTGCGGGGTTTGCTGTGATTTACCTGCAAATGCATCGAGTGCTTTCTTGATGTTGTCAGCGTTGAGGATGCTGTTCATTGCCATTGTGGCTATGTTGGCTGTTGGGAAAAGAGAAAGGGACAAAGGAGGCGACGGAAGAGGGCACTGGGTTAAAATCGATGCCGCGAAGGAACAAGGGTGCACATTGTTGTACGGAATGACACCCGTGATGCCGTTGGAACGGAGCAGGAAACCGGCGCGTGTGAGATGAGCGGTGATGAGTGAAGCGATGAAATGAGGGATGAATCGAGATGAATGCAACCAAGGCAGGGGATGCTTTTGGGGTTGTAGTCTATCAAGTCAAAACAGGAAAATATCACGTCGAATGAAGCAGTCAAGGGAAGAAGGACAGATGGCGGCCAGCACCTTATATATGAGCATGGCATTTTATTTGTGTGTTTTTTCATCGAGCTGCTGCAGATGAAAGCAGGGCAGGAGGGCCGCAGGCCAAGTCAGCGGGGATTAAACAGACCATCTGAGTCTTCAGCTGTCTCTGAAATACCTAATGAGACTTCGCCATACCAGTTCTGATAACATGAAAGCCTCGTTCATTCAATGGCTACAAAAAGTCTGCACACCCCTGTTCGAATTAAGAATTTTGTGATATACAAAAAAAAAAGAGAGAAATCACAAAAATTATTTTAACTCAAGCAAAAAAAAATAAATAAAACACACACACACACACACACACACACACACACACACACACACACACACACAATTGAGATAATACAATTGCACATGTCGGCGTACCCTCTTCTAACTGTTTGCACCAAAACACAGTTTGGTTTCATATATAAACCAAACGTGTGCCTTTTCCCTCATAGCTTCTTTTTAAGGGTCACTTTGTGATTGGAGGTCAAGTGGAATCCCATTTTTACGCAATTAAAACACACAGTCGAGATTAGATCATTTTTTTTCCACGGCGAAGAGTAGCATTTGCCCAACGCGAGATCTTCTCAACGCTCGGATTATGAAGGTGACCCCCATTTGCCGTGCTTTGTTGGTCTTCTTCCATTTTTATCACTGCGGCTGATATTTGAGCTTGTTGAGCCCTGCGCTGTTGTCCGCTTCAGTGACGCAGCCCTCCGCGCTTGGATCAATAGCGAACAGTACTTAACTTGTGCGGCCACACGTTCAATCTTTTATTATTACCAGCGGAGCCTCTGTTTGTGACCTATAGCAGAAAGGTGTCTAGGGGATGGTGAAACAAACAATTCACTCTGAAATGAAGAGGGTAAGATTGACTCGGTGAGAGAACGTCAGCCGCTGAGCTGTCGGCGGAAGCGGGTCAAGTCAATTATTTATTTACAGTCAGCCCGACTGCACAAAGACGCATTATGGGCCAGCTGTTGAGCGTCTTTGCACGCCACCAAACGAGGTTTGCATTTATATGTACTGACATTTGAAATAATGTGTTAACCATGAGTCCCAAATACGTTTTCTATTGGGAGCCGAGGAGGCCCCTGGATGCGTCTTTGTAGAATCTAAAGAAATACAGCAGGCTATTATTTCCTTGTGCCTGCGAGATAATTTATTGAAGTCCCTCGGAATTGCACAACATCTGCATAATCGATCCTCAAATGACTCGATCAAATGCAATGAAAGCTAACAGTAATTGCTACGGATGCTAATAGCGCAGGTAGAGAGAGAGACTACAAGGAAAAACACCAACAATAGAAGTGAGTGGATTGTTTAAAAGCAGTGCAGTGGCCTGTGGGCTTGGTGGCTCTTATCACGGCTGTCCTCTGTCTAAACCTCTGGCACTTACAGTGCAGGATAGCTTAGCCGCGCACTCTCCTCTTGGCACCGACGCGTCTGTTCAGTACTTTTTTTTTCTCTGTAACTCCACATATGCATTTTATCTCTGATGTGTTGTAACTTCTGGATATTTTGACACACGTGATTGCATAGATATATGAATCTGGGCCGTATCGTCGGAGATAGATCACCGTCTAAAATCCAACATTGCGTCATCAAATCACATTGCTGGCATCTTTTTTCAAGGAAATCGGTGAAAATGATTCTCGACTCAAAACTGCGAATGAAACTCAATTTGGCAAACGCAATCAAACAAACAGGTGCATGTAGTGGACCTCGCAATAAATAGCAGCACGGTATTAAAAACGTTTATCCCGAGCGCTAACCGCGTAGTCCTCCCGCGTGACACACGTTCTGCTACTCGTATGGTTTGCAGTGTTGTAAAGATGCACATTCATGAGATTCATTTGCAAAGCCGACATAATGAAAGCAAAGCGAGTGCCGAGACCACTTGACGTATTTGCATGTAATATTAGCAAACAAATTAAAGATGCAGATGATTTGAATCGCCGCTTGTAAGCCCCCGTGAAAAGTCATAAATATTTCGTTATGGGTGTCTGTCTCATTAACTTCATAATTAGCGAAGTATTCTTCCGTCCGTGAATATTCATGGCGGAATGCATGCGCACGCGCATGTCACATTTTCATTTCCATCTACTTTTTATTGATTAAACCTGCCTTCGTTCATAAATTCAGAGATGGATTCTGACGGGCGAATCAACAAGTTTGAGTCCTTCAGCATTTTTGGTGAGCAAGTTTGCTTAGCCCGGAGCACAGCTGTTCCAGCGCAGTCAATCTCATTAGGTGTAATTAAAATGTGACCTTGAAATAAATCACAAGTAAGCCCCGGGACACCACTGCTTCTCATTTTGCAAACAAACGGTTGCTATCGGAAAGTAATTACCTGGTCGAGATGATGTCTCTGTATCTAAATTTGATCTCATTCTATGGAGGAGCCAGTTCAGGAAGTTAAACGCCGACCGGCCTTGCTCCTTTATTTTGATGACCCGATTTACTTTCATGAAATGTCAGCGGCCAGATTTCAAATGTGGTCCCCCCAAAAATTCTTTGGATTTGATACGGCATGAAAATATAACACAGCGCGATGAGCAGACGAAAGCAAAGCATTCAGGGATTTCAGGAATTTGCTCGTTCCGCACCCTTGAGGGTGTGGTCACCGATGTGGCTCAGCCTCATTGTGTGATTTTTGTGTCTCCAACCAGGCTAATTAAACATCGCTATTAATGATCATCAAATGTTGGCACTGCTCTCATCAGCCAGTCTTGTTTTGTGATGCCCATCCTTGTTTTGCCCTTCCTCCCCCTTCCTCCTTGCAGCTATTCGATTTCTTCACCTCATTTTCTCCCCCCGCCCACCCAAGGGACCTCTCCGTCCTCTAATATCTCCCTCTGAGATGATTAAACACACACCACCACCCGACCACCGCTCCCCCTTTCAAAGACCTTTGTCTGTCTCATTTCTTTACACTTTTAATTGAAGCTTTCTCTTTTCATTTAACCGTTGCTTCAAAGCGTTTCGCATCTCCGGTGACATATTAAATCCCGTCGGCTTGCTTTCTCTGTTGCGCCCATCCATCAGAAATAGCGCTTATCACACCGCTTTTGCAATTTATTGCCACTAATTAACTTAATATGTATTGTTTGGATAGTGAAAGCTGTTCAGCCTTAGCAACAAACGCAGCTTTAGCATTTCTTTTCACTTCTCCACCTCTGGTTTCACTTTAGAGTCAGTCCATGTCCAAAATTCGACCAAGAAAGTTGCCTTCTCCTCTCACGTTTTCTTCAGCTTTTGAAGTGTGGAAGGACAAAACCCGATTCTAATGAAGTTGGGATGTTGCGTAAAACAAATATTTTGTCAAAACACAATATAATGATTTACTAATCTTCTCAACAGTTTTGAGCCTCCATTGTCATATTTCACACTTCATAATGCGCCGCCCATTTTCAGTCGGAGATAGGTCTGGACTGCTGGCAGGCCAGTCTCGTCCTTGCACTCTTTGTACGATGAAGCGCTGTTGTAAAGCATGCAAAACGTGCCGTTGTTTTTGCTGAAATTCTCTCCACATAATTTGAACAAGTCTTTTGATTGCTTTGGGTAGACTTTGTATGTGGTAAGCTGATTTGTTAGAAAAAAAAAAAAAGTGGCGGTCATTCCGTTGAAAAGTGTCATTAATTCAGTCTGGTGGAAACAGTTTTGATTTGTGGACGAGTACAACGAAAGGGCAATCTGTACTTTGAAGGCCACTTTACTCCAAAGATGCAAGGACTTTATAGTACTAACATCAGATTTTTCAACTGACCTTTTGCTCAAAAGACCAATAAAAAGGCTTAAAGGTGACTGTGTGCGCAGATGCATAAAGGTTGTAAACACATTTGATTGACAGGAAGGAATCTGTATGCACTCCAATCTCGACATTCCGCAAGAACATTCAGGACTCGAAAGTGAAAGAGCTTTCGGGTGTTTGTTTTGAATTTTGGAGCACAGGACGGCCATTATTATGAGTCTGCAAATTCAAACATTTTCACGCGACTTACCAGTAGTTGCATTTCCGCTAACACATGGTAGGATGTAAATTGTGTTTCCGCAATATTTGCAGGTGCTTTTTGCACATTCGGCGAGAAAAGAATGAACTCGTTTGATGCAGAATGGTCCTGACTTGTGCGGCGTGTTCAAAACATTGGCCCCCTCCTGTGCATTGTCCATCTGGATCAATTGACTGTGAAATATTTGAAACCATATCATCCTGTTATCGCTCCGCCCGTCCCTCTGCCATCTGGTACCTCGAGTTAAGATGTTCTTTCAAATGTCCGACCATTTTATTGGCACATTTGTCCAAATGAAACGCCGGCGCCATCTCATCAGAGCGGCAAAAAGGCCACCAGAGGCGTGCCTCTCGCAGCCTCCTGACAAGGCGACAGCCGGATGAAGCGCTGACAGGTAATCCTGGGATGACGATAATGAAAGACGGAATATTAAAAAAGAAATGACAGAGAAGAGATTAAAAGCGGAGGGAGTTGACGTCGAGGGAGGGAAGTAGAAAGGGAGCGATGAGGCCGCCGACGTGGTTCGAGGCACCGAGGTCAACGTCGGATTCCGCCGCGGAATGCGAGATGAGGCGCGGGGGAGAGAAGGGACGACAAGGAGAAATTGAGGGAAAATAAGGCCGCTATGCTGGCAAATCTACATAAGCAATGAGGTGTGGTCCTCGCTCAAAGCT